ATTTTGGAAGAGTTTTATACTTTAGGGTTTAGATATTTACGCTATGCATAAGCCAAATCAAACGGCTTTAAAATGCAAATCAATATGTTTGTTTATTGCATGAAACTGATGCATTTAGCAATTATAATAAAAATATTGATATTACATAGTAAAACACTTGTGTAACCTTTCTTTTGAAAATAGTGACCGAATACCACTGTAATCTGTAATGCCTTTAAGTAAAGATGAAAAAAAAACTAACAAAATATAAACTAAAACTGCCATAAATCTTAAAATATATTCAGAAAAATAACGTAAGCCAAACGTTATATTTGAAGTCGGCGTTGCGTGATATTTTACGTTGATTCAACGTAGTATTTTACGTTGACACAGCATTGTTTTTATGTAGACAAAACAATATATTTTAAGTTGATTCGAAGTTATATTTACATTTGCACAACGTTATATTTAACCTTTATTGGAACTAAATTTATTTGTTTTATATTTTTGCAATGTGGTTTTACTTACTATTTTTTAATCATATTGCTATTAAGGTTTTCATTAACATAAACATGATCACACTAACATTGGATGAACGTTGTACAGGCATCGGAAAAAACAGCTAACGATGATAAAACGTTAGAACAAAGTTATTCGTTGCGTTTGCCCAACATCGACCGCCAACGTTGTTTTTATATACTTTTGGTTACAACAGCGACGTCGTTAACAACCAAAAGCGAACGTTAGTTCAACGTTGTATTTTAAATCACCAGTGCGTAATGTTTTACGGTGATTCAACGTTATACTTTACGTTGCCAAAACGTTGTATTTTAAGTTGATTCAACGTTATATTTTATGTTTGCACAGCTTTATATTTAACTGTTATCGGAATTGAATTAATTTGTTTTATGTAAAGCATATACATGTAAACATAATTTATTATTTATTTCTACGCGTATATAGTTGTATATATGTGATTTATACGTACATACTTTCGCATTTTTGATGATAAGTTTAGGTATTGTGGTTTATCCTTCTCCAACTGATTGTTATACAGAGACCATATTACCTAGGCCTGCAATGACAAGTTCGGTTTCCCAAGGAGCTTCATAACCCGCTCTACGGACCGAGAGGTAAGTTAGTTTGCAAAGAACGAAGATATTTTACAGTAAAAGTCGGAAGAAGTTGTGTTAAAAAGATAGCATATAAGAAGCGAACAGAAATTGCACACAGTGTTAAAAGGTGCAAAAGGTCAAAGGATGGTATTGTGGTTTATCCTCCTCCGGCTAATTGCCATATAGAGGCCACATTACCAAGGCCCGCAAAGACAGGTTTGGCTCCCCAAGGAGCGTCATAACCCGCTCTACGGACCAAGAGTAAAGTGAGTTTAGGAAGAACGAAGATATGTTAGAGTGAAAGAAGAAAAACAGAAGAAGTTGTGTTAAAAAGATAGCATAGAGAAAGCGGATAGGATTGTACCCGATATTAGGATGTGCAATAAGTTGAAATAAGGACTAAAAACACAGGGAATAAAAAGTTTCAGTATGTATTTTTTTCCGTCATGCAAAAGGTCATAGGATGAATTAACATTGCATATGACATATCAGGAAAGATGCATCTGATTAAAGAGTCATTATTCATGTTTGTTTTACATGTGGTTTGATATTTCATTACATAAAGATAAAAAAATAAAATAGCAAAATATATTTCAAAAACCAACTGAAATAATTAAGTGAAAAATAATTCTCATAAATTAAATAAATGTATATTTGTATATCTGCTTTTTCTCGATGAAATCTCAACTTTGATCCACTGTATAAAATCTAATGTTATTCCAATTTATATAGATACATCAAATCAACGTTGGTTTATACACATTGATTCAATGTTGGGTTTAGATCGTAAAAAAATCAAGCTTTTGCAATGTTTTTAAATACATTGGATCAACATTTATTTATATATATTGAATCAATGTTGAGTTATATTTATATATATATATATGTTGTATCAACGTTGGGTTTAGATCGTAAAAATAATTAACTTATTACGATGTTTTTACATACGTTGGGCCAATGTAAATGTGCTACCTGTTTCTAGTTCCATCTGTATCAATTTCATCATTAAATAAATGACATTGGATTAACGTTGGTTTTGCTTACGACGTTTGCGATGGTTTTACATACGTTGGCTCAACGTATTATTATGTTTTTGAAACTTAATAAACTTATCAAAGTAATATTTACAGGGTATATAAAACTGCAGATAATAAAGGCGCTATTTGTTTAAATCTTAATATTGGACATAAAACATCCATAAAATTACTTCTGATCTTCCAAAACTAGACTAGACTAGATGCTCTTTATTGAGCTGTAAATATTTTTCCGGACCTTGGTAATTGGCCTTTTTATGTCAATTAGCCGGAGGAAGAAGATAAACCATATCAATAATTCCTTTTTTTTTTTTTTTTTGAATATATTTAAAATGGATTTAAAAGTAAATCTAAAAATTAAATGTATGATTTATTTTTGTATCATTACAATTATGCAACTAACTGTTTATCCCAAGAATT